TGATATGCTGTGGATGTTCGATGAGTCACATGATATTTGCGTAGCAATGCTTCCATGGAACGATTGCAGAAATGAGTGCCACGATCACTGATGATAGCTTTAGGGATGCCAAACCTATCAAATATGTGAGTCCTGACAAAATCTAAAACAACCTTAGCATCGTTAGTTCGTGTGGCTTTCGCCTCAATCCATTTGGACACATAATCAACAGCAAGAAGAATATAAAGATTTCCAAAAGAAGAAGGAAATGGACCCATAAAGTCAATACCCCAAACATCAAAAATTTCACTTACAAGAATATTTGTTAAAGGCATTTGATTTTTATGAGTGATATTACCTGTTCTTTGGCATTTTTCACATGATTTGCAGAAGTGATATGCATCTTTAAAAATAGAAGGCCAATAGAACCCACTTTCAAGTATTCTTGTAAGCCTTGAGTTTTTTTTTTTTTGAGTGATACACGAGGGGTGTGAGGCTACTAATCAAATTTTATAGATTCAAAGAATATCTGAAAATAACGAATCAGTGACACAAAACGTTGACGTAGCTTTCAAATTACAAGCCATAGACTAGCAACTTGAACTATTGTCTAGAACGTACAAGGATTTGAAAGATGAGGTGAATTCAATAAAGCAATAGAATAGTGGAGCTGAACACCGAGGAAATACGGTCCGTATGGCTGTACGGAATTTCAGATCTGATTTTCAAAAGTTGATGAAAACGCAGATGCGGGCGAGGATGATTATGATTTTGCATTTGCTGGCTAAGGAATCAGGTCTGGAAGAGAGATCTGGAGAGAGAGAGAGAGAGAGAGAGAGATATGGAGAGAGAGAGATTAGAGATCAAATTGTCGGAGCTAAATCTACTCCGTCCACCGTTGGATCATCCTCACTTCTAACTATGTTGTTCGTTCCAACCTTCTCGAAATATTGACCGAATTGATCTTGATTCCATTCAATGAGGTGGGAGATATTGATCTCGTAATATTTCTACTATTTTGTTCAAGCTTGATTTCTCGTGTTCACCGTTGGATCGTCACCATTTTTTAGTATGTTGTTCGTCAGAACATGCTCTACAGCTTGATCGAACGGATCATCATTGCAATCAATGATCTCGAAGATACTGGCCTTGTAATTCTGTAATTCTCTTCTTCCTTCATGAACAAATTCTCCCTTCATGAACAAATCTGAATCTTGTTGTTTCTGAGATTACATTGTTGTTGTTTCTGAGCTTAGGTTACGTCTTAGACTCAGTTTCTCTTCTTAGAATTTGGTATCTCTAGTATTTGTATGCTGCCATAATGTCCTTATGTTCTGCTGTGGATTCTGTTCCAATGGTTACCTCTAACAATGAACAACACAATGAAGTCAAGTCTGGACATATATTAAGATTAGAGCTACAAGATATGTTGAACAGCCATGGGATGAGGATTTCTCAGTTTACTAATGTTAATCAAGCTGATTCTGAAGCTAGCATAGAGAAGAAACACTCTAATTCCCAAGCTTCTAATGTTGTTTCAGAAATGAATCATGTGTTGGGTTCTAAAGTTGATGAGTTGAAGGTAGGGTCTCAGCAACAAGACCAGCAAAATCATCGCCCCAAATTGAATTTTTTAAATGCTTTGAAGGGTTCTGATGTTGATAACAATGAGGGTACCAAGAACCTTGGTATTTCTCTAGTTCGTAATCTGCATTTTGCTTCCCCCGCTATGACTGATGGTTATGTGACAGTAGCTCCTCCACTTGATGTGTTTGAGGATGACTGCGAACTTTGGAAATCCACCCTAGTTGGTCATTTTGTGGGTCAGAAATTACCATATCCCCTTGTTAATTCCATTTGTCAATAGTTAATCAGTTAGCTATTAAGGCTAGAGACTCTCTAGAGAAAAAGAAAAGGGGTTCAAAAACCTCTTCAAAGAAGAATAATAAATTTGTCTCCTCGCTTGGGGGCACGTCGAGGTAATCTTTGTGTTGCTGTTTGTACTCCTCTCTATTTTCTTATGATTATTGGATGCTGGAATGTTAGAGGTTTGAATGATCCCATCAAGCATTCGGCATTGCATCAACTCATCCATCAAGAGAGGATAACTCCTTTTGGTTTGGTTGAAACTCGGGTTAGAGACGAGAATAAATATAATGTTTCTCAACTTCTTCTGCGTAATTGGTCCTTCTTGTATAATTATGATTTCTCTTGTCGTGGTCGTATTTGGGTTTGTTGGAATGCTGATGTGGTGAAGGTTGATGTCCTCGGAATGTCAGACCAGGCTATTCATGTTTCTGTCACTATATTAGCTACCAATATACCAATATCTGTTTCAATTATTTACGGAGACAATAACGCTTCCTTATGTGAGGCATTATGGTCTGATATAGTGAGTCATAGTGATGGATGGGAGTCCAGCCCATGGATTCTTATGGGCGACTTTAATGCTATCCGCTACCAATCAGACAGGTTAGGAAGGTCTACTTCGTGGGCTGGTGATATGGACAGATTGGAAACATGTATTCAAGAAGCGAAAGTGGATGATCTTCGATATTCAGGCCTGCATTATACTTGGTCGAACCAATGTCCTGAGAATCTGATTATGCGGAAACTAGATAGAGTGCTTGTCAATGAGAAATGGAATCTGAACTTCCCCTTTTCAGAAGCGAGATTTTTGCCATCGGGTATGTCAGACCATTCTCCTATGGTGGTAAAGGTTACTGGTGATTATCAGAATATAAAGAAACCATTCAGATTCTTTGATATGTGGATGGACCATGACGAGTTCATGCCCTTGGTGAGGAAAGTATGGGAACACAATTCAGGGGGTTGTCCAATGTATCAGCTGTGTTGCAAGCTAAGAAAACTAAAACGGGAATTGAAACTTTTCAATATGACTCACTTCTCCAACATTTCAGATAGAGTCAAAGATGCGAAAGATGAAATGGATAAGGCTCAACAGGCTCTCCATACAGCACATGGGAATCCAACTTTGTGCATGCGAGAAAGGGATGCTGTACGTAACTACGCTTCTATCGTCAAGGCCGAAGAGAGTTTTTTCAAACAAAAGTCAAGGATACAGTGGCTTAGCTTGGGGGATCAGAATACTGGCTACTTTCACAAATCAGTAAATGGAAGACAGCATAGAAATAAACTTCTTTCACTTACAAAGGAGGATGGAGAGGTTGTCGAAGGACATGAGGCAGTTAAATCAGAAGTCATTGCGTACTTCCAGCGTGTGTTAAGAGTGGAACAGATGCCTAGGGTTCTGAATGAGGAAGAGATGGAATCGGCAATTAACTTGAAACTGTCTTCAACGCAACAACATGTATTAGCACAAGATGTAACAAGGGAGGAGATTAAGCATGCTATGTTTAGTTTGAAGAACAACAAAGCCCCTGGTCCGGATGGATTTAACGCAGGTTTCTTCAAAAGAATGTGGCACATAGTTGGGGAGGATGTAATCAATGCTGTTAGCTCCTTCTTTCAGACTCGGAGAATGCTTAAAGAAATGAATGCTACATCAATTTCCCTTATTCCTAAAGTTGCCAATCCTACGAGGTTGACAGATTTTCGTCCTATATCTTGCTGCAATACCGTGTACAAATGCATCGCTAAGATTCTAGCTGGGAGAATCACAGCTGTTTTGCCATCCTTAGTAGGTCCGTATCAGACTGCTTTTATCTCTGGACGGAGAATCAGCGACAACATTCTTTTGTCTCAGGAACTAATGAAAGGCTATCATAAATCTACGGGACCTGCCCGTTGTGCTATGAAAGTAGATCTGATGAAGGCTTATGACTCGGTTCGGTGGGATTTCGTTGACGCTATGTTAAGAAAAATGGGATTCCCTAGAACAGTCATTGATTGGATTATGGTTTGTGTTACATCATGTCAATTCTCTATCAACGTCAATGGTGAGCTTGCAGGTTATTTTCAAGGGGGGAGAGGGCTTCGACAAGGGGATCCACTTTCTCCATATTTGTTTGTCCTATGTATGGAAATCCTTTCGGGGCTATTCTGCAAGATGAGTGCCAACCAAAACTTCAAGTTCCACTGGAGATGCAAGAAGGACAACATTTCTCATCTTTGTTTTGCTGACGACTTGATGATTTTTAGCAAAGGAGATGTAAACTCAATTCGTATGATCAAAACTGTGCTCACAAAGTTTCAAGATCTATCAGGTCTGTATCCAAATCCAAATAAAAGTGACATCTTCTTAAGCGGTGTGTTAAATGCTGAGAGGGAAGAGATTATTCATGTTCTTGGGTTTGCAGAGGGGGAGTGGTTTGGTATACCCAATAGATGCTCACTCTGTTTCCGCAACAATGAAGATCACAACCACTTGTTCTTTGAATGCTCCTATACTAAAGCGATCTGGT